GCAAGGGTAAATGTAGCTGCAAGTTTAAATGACCGAGGTACAAGTAAGTGGTGTACCAGTTGTGTATAATCATTTTGAATTGGTAATTCATACAGGAGTATGATATTGTTCAAGAGGCTTTACAACCTATTAATTGAAATATGGTTCAGTAAAAAGACAAGGTGCGATGTCTGGACTAAACTAATTAACGTATGGTACACATTATATAATTATTAATTAATAATTACTTAATTGATGATTATTTTAAACTTGCACTAAGAATGTTGTGGGAATCTCAGCACATGTGGGTGACTTGTCAACAATATCATCATCAAGATGAAAAGGAAATCACTTCATTTTATTATATTATTTATATTTTATTGTATATTCAATTTAATATTTATTGGTTCAATATATAAAAAAAGTACATTACAAAATCTTTGTTTATACACTGCAATATATAAAAGGAGGAAATTCAATATATATATAAAAGATTAAGAAACACAATTCAATTTACAATTCAAATAGAAAGGTTAGATTAATAAAGGTAAAAACCTACAAAAAGCAAAAATGCTTATAACCCAATAAAGTAAAATGTCCTATTTCCACTAGATTCTGAATAGTGCTGGCCTATATTGGATGAACATAGCTTTATACTTAGTAGTAGTATAACAATTTTGTTGTTTTTTTTGTGGGCACAGAACTTACTGCTGCCAGCATGTAAAACCTGTGGGTTAGGCAACGTCATTGAGTATTTATAAACTTAATAAATTGACCAAATACACTGTGTATGAACAATATACTTCAATTTCCATTTCAAATAGAAAGGTTAGATAAATAAATGTACAAACAATATTTTTAAATTTTACCACCTTTTTTGGGGGCACAGAACTCGCTGCTAGCATGTTATAACCTGTAGGTTAGGCAACGTCATTGAGTATTAATAAACTTAATAAATTGACCAATACTGTGTGTACGAACAACCAATTACTTTATAAGTATGGAGGACTTGAAACCAGTTGTAGCTGTAGATTACCAATTTGAACACTTTGTCTTACTTACAGGCCTATTTATCTTAGCTTTAAACTTCATGGGAATGCTATACTTTTAATTAACCCGGTGTGCTGTGGTTGAAATGTTAACACCTATAGCAGTTACTTTTAAAATTTGTATATCGTCGCTCACATCACGAACTAACACAATTAAATTCAATTGTGTTAGTTCGTGAAATCAAAAAAGCGCGTCAAAATACGCGCTGTTGTTGTTAGGGACTTTTTGTGGTAAAGAATACAAAATTGCTTGACAACCAATATGCGCTCGTTTTGACGCGCTACTGTGATTTCACGAACTAACACAATCTACTTTGATTGTGTTAGTTCGTGATATGAGCAACGATATGTAGGAAAACATTGACAATGAAGGAAGGACACTAAGTAACAGATGCAACTCCTTAATGGTTAAAACAGAACAACAGTAAATGATCTGTATACTGTGTGTGTGTGTGTAGCAGATTGTGCAATCAATAGGCCTATTCATTGACTCATTCATTCAAGTCTGTATCTCCCTGATTGTACCTATACTAATGATGTAGTCACAAACTGAATGTTGAAAGTTATTAGCATCCATATAAATTCCACTTAAGAAGATTTGCTTTTTACTGTTAGGTGTTATTTGGAAATCTAATTTTTGTTTAGGTGTAGTTAACTAATCAAACTAGTAGTAGATTTGTGTTCTCGAGTTCAGTTTATAGACATTTACCACTAACTGAATGTTGTTGCTAAGTCTCATCTTTTGTTTGATTAGTAACAGTTTATCCATGCGTATCTTGGTGTCTGATCAACTTTACTCACTCTCTCTCCATACAAAAACAGTCATTGTCAACTGAACGGTTGCATTTATGCCAGGCAAGAAAAATACTGAAGCACTCCAATGCCTGATGGCTTTAGTAGCATTGCAAGAATTACATTCCTTTAGCTAGTTTCAATTGTGAATTATAAAATTAAAAAAAACAAAAGCACTTGGCATAAATATTATTGATAGTATCAAAGTTTGTAAGAAAGTACTTGATACATCGCAAAATTGTTGTTTTGCATTGTCTTGTACTGTACTGATTTTGTTTACAGTTATTGTATTAATTTCTATCCAATTAAGTCTGAAATAAAGTTAAAAAGAATGATTGACACTAAATCCTTGATTCACATGAAACTTTATGAAGCATATAATTAACAATAATATCTATATTATTATATAATTGTTTTAGTACTGTTTTACTGTATTTATTTAAAATTTGCATGTTTGAGGTATAATACTGTAGCAATTTGAAACATATAAATTCATAACTGTTTTCAACAATGTGTGTAAGTTATTGGTTTAAATTTATTTTATATTAGAAAGTACTTACATAGATGGTACTTACACTGTACAAAAATGTTGATATAATTTTATGTATATACAAGCTTCAATTTAATACACTGTTGATACACCCATATAGACAGCCTTTAAATATTCAAATATCGTTTTTGATTGAAATACTCTAGTTGTTTTGCAAGGCTGTGGAAATTTTGACCACCAGACGAACCTTAGTTTACATAATTACAATTGATAATTTGTATTGAGTTGGATTCGCATTGTGCTGATATTGAATGTTCATTATTCTGAGGATCTGGTATTTCTTTGTCAGTTTCCAAAGATGGATTATGCTAGATCATGTGCCATCATCTGTTACAACCTGTTAATTATTGTCAAGAAAAGACATTTTGTAGTACAATACAATATTATAACAATTGAATTTGGTGTATGAACATTCCACAGTATATTTTTGTCTTTGGAGACCAGCAACTGTAGACCCCTGAATGGAAAGTACCTTGCAATTTGGGCCTTAGAGATATACCACCAACAGTTACAAATATATTACATAAATTTTATTTTAATTTTATTACAGTATGTGGCTAAAGTGATAAATTTCTAAGAAGACTGAATAAATGTTTCTAAAAACTTGTAGAAAGTCTTATATTATATTTTTTTGGATAATGAATTTATGTTTGTATTATGAATTCTGTAAATGGTCGGAGTAAAGAAAGAATAAGTTTCCACCTATTGTAGCTACCAATTTTACATTATAAGAACATTACAGTGTCCAAAACTTGTTTTCTTTTTGTATTGTAGAACCATATACATTTTAAAAAATGTCTGACATTGCAAATGTACAGCAATGTTGGTGCAATGTTCTATTATTACTGTTATTTTCTGAAACTTTGCGAATGTTATAAAGTTTGTGTTTGCAGGGTTTTCATGGAAACCTATTTCATGACTTGAAGAAAATATTGAGTTTTTAAAGCAATAAAAGATGGCCACTTCAGAGATAATTGCTTTATAATCAGAAATGATCACAATATGTTTCTGCTCACAGATCTGTGCAGATTGAACAATTTTTATATCAATCAATTTCTTTTGAATCGACATTAGTGATGAGCAGATAATTTTGAGCCATTGTCCTTAAGTTTTTTTATGGTTCAATTCCTCATATCATGGCCAATTTCTGATGTTCATTGCTTGCAGAAAAAAACGATTGCTCATAATAGCATCCAATATATTAGATATGGTTTCATGTAAGTACCATGTGAACTATGATAACCTTGAGGATTAATTGCTAATTTACAACTGTGCTTTAGGATGGATATTAATAGATAAAATAAGTAGAAGAAAGTGCTTTGTACCTGCAACAATTAAGTTCATGCCAAAGGAATGTATTATTCATGTGTGAAAGCATCACAAAGCTTGCATTCCACATACATAAACATAACATTTTTGCACATAATTCTGTTGCGAAATTCCCAGGTCAATATTATGAATTTCTCTATGTTCATTGTCAACTAAAGGATGTTTAACCCTTAACCTTTGACATCTTAGCATTTCCAACAAAAGGTACATTGGTTTCTTCAGGTCACTATGTTTAATAAATTTATTTTAAAAATGTTCTAGCATTATTTCTTAACATCAATAAGAGCAAACATATTTTAAAACTTCTAACATTTAATAATTTTTTTCTTTATTCTACTAATTTAAACTATTTACAGTAGTTGTATTCTGGCAATTTTTATAATTGATGATATTACTTAAAGAAAAGTCTTGAAAAAAGTATAAACAATAATGGAAAATAACAATAGTAGTGTTCATTAGGTGTAAATAGATAAGATAGAATCAACAATAACAATAGTTACAATTGGTATCTGAGATTTGAATTATGATTCAAGTCAATCTCATAAGAGTAAAGAAACAAGGATATTATAATCATATTTTGTCTTTTATATTTAATCGCAGGTTTTGTATTGTTTAATTCTATCTATCGAATTGAAGTGCATAGCGATGCTAGTGGTATAGATTGCGCTTGGAGTTGTCCACTTGATTAAGCAAATCAACAGTATTCCTGCTTAATTAATTTCATCGATGATGAAAGCATTCAAAGATTCGTTTGCATACAAATTCAATCATTAACATCATTGTAGTCGATGAATAGGTTAAAAGACTTTGCATAAGGCCCCCTGCATTTTTGCAAAAGTACCGGGTTTCTTGGTCTGTTCATCCATTGTGGTGTGAGTGTGAATTTAGTGATAGATGCAGGTTGAAACAAAACCAGTTAGTTCTACTGATGTAGGCCATGTTGTTAGAAATTCTGTTTTGTTTAGAGACCAACAGTTGAACATTTTCACAATAATCTATTCATTTGTAAATTAAAATTTGGTGTCATTATAATAAGTACAATGAATTGATTTAAAGCCAAATTCAAATTAATAGTATTATTTGTATGATATTATTTAAAGCCAAACTCAATTTTATAATATAATTATTATTTTTTTTAAATTGGATTTAAGGCCAAACACAAATTCTACAGTTTTTTGAATACATTCATCCTTCTGTTGCTATTGATAATGTAATCATTTTCAGCTTTCCTTCCTATGATTTTTGATAAAATTGTTAACATGTAGTTGAAAATTAAATAATTAATTATTTGTATCTTACAGAGTGAAAGCCCAACCCGGAAACGTAGGAGAATGTCGCAAGGGTTGATCGATTTGGCAGCTTCACCAAGTCCTCCCTTAGTTAGACCGTGGCAAACACCAAACCAATCGCAACCGTGGTTGCCAAGTTCCAGCTTAAGTAATTATAATAATCCACGATTGGGCTCAATCATTGACCGTTGCAACACGCAAGCTAGAATATCAGATAGGAGAAGGTATGTTGAAAAACCCATTGAAATTTATGTGGACTTCCTTTGATATTAAAAATGAAGTTTCTTGAAAAAACAGCATTGCTTCCAAATTTGTAGTCTTATTGTCAATAAATCAAGTAAAATTCAACTTTAAATCATGTGGTAACTTTCAGAAATAGTTTTAATCAACAGTTGAAAATTGAAGAATAAATTTTGCTTTCATCATATAGTATTTTTATTTGTGTCTTTACTGCTATTATAGTATTAGGGAACCTCTTACTAACCAACTTAATATCTGGGACGAAGTTAGTCTGCCCCATAATACACAAACTTGCACTGTGTTTTAAGTTTTGTAATTAAATACAGTCATAAATTCACATTTCTATATTGGGTTTCTGAATCTGTGACATAGCACTGAACTGAAGGTTATTCATTTTCTCAACTCAACCTTCCATTCATGTGTTTGTGAACTTTCACCTGCAAGATTTTTTTCTGAGAGTTGTTGCTAATAAAAGTCTTAAACAAACCAAGAATGAACCTGTAGTAAATTGTTCGTGGTGGGGAAATGTATTTGAAAAGAACAATCAATTGTATTCCAATGAGTAAATAGATAAATTTGTCTTTACAATTTGTGAATATCAAGAAGAAACTTACTTGTTCTGATAGATAATGGATTACGATTACAGCATAATTACATGTTGTGTTTCAACGAACTACATACTTGCATGCAATGGTGCCCATTGGGCAAGCAAAGGTGCCCATTGGGTTCTGAATTCAGTCATGCCTCGCATTATTCAATTATAGTATTTCAGAAGCAAGCCTTCATGTACGACTTCATTGGAAATAAAGTTGTGATATTAACGCAAGATATCAATGGGATTAGTCTCTCATCTTGTAATCGATAGGGAAGGGATATGCACACAAAATATGGGATTTTACTCTTTAAGTAATCACTAAATGGATACAGAATAGCCAAGTGATATAATCTATGTGGGAAAGCTATCTTAATAATTTCAAGAATGATATTGCTATCTACGTTGTTCAGTCAAACTGATAAATAACACTGTTGCACATTGCATCATTGAAAATCTCCGAGTTGTCACTTTGTCTACTTCCCCGTGTCTTGCCTGCTCAAAGTCAAAGGAAAATCACTATTACAAAAACTGAGATTCAATGAAAATGTGCCCAAAAATGCAGTTCGAAATATTAAACATGAAATTCCTCATAATTTGAGATTCTATAATTTGATGTGCTAGGATTCCAAGATATCTATTGTGTAATGTTTTCTCTCAGTGTACTGGCAGTATGTACGTACCTGGGAAATAACATTATTTACTGTAGCACTTTGTCCTTTCTGTCTACAGGTAATGATGAATTAATAATAGACTTTTGTACAATTATATGCTGTACAGCATTTACATAATGCCGCGTCTTTGCAGTTTCAAATTGCAGCAGTTTATTCTGGTTTTCTTATCAGTTGCAATAAAAGTTAGCGAATGTCAATTAGTTACAAATTAATCATTTTTTGTTCTCTAAATTTTGTTATACTTACTTCCTACCTAATAATACTTTGGTACTTCCCATTATTATCTCCTACTTCCCATATTCCCAATGTCTTTCCCATAAATCCTTTATATTCATTGCCCTCAATCTATACCTTGAATTTTCCTACTTTACTTTTAATCCACTGATTCTTTGTGTAAAGTTTTTTTTTTCCCTCTATAACTTGTAATTTAATCGTAAATTAGCTTCATCAGAACATTTTTTTTGTATTTTCTTGGGTTGCAATTTGATATATCATCCTAATTTTGTTAATATTGAGCTTTCTTCATGTTGGACTTATTAATGAAGTGTGTATATGCACTCGCCACATTACGCCCTCGCACACTGTTGGAAAAAATATATAGTTTAACAACATGTTACAGGAGAAAGCTGCTTTTAATTGTACCAAACTTTGTTCTACAGCAGGAAACATATTGCGAAAGTCATTTCCTGTATCAGTTTTCCTGTAGTGTCTGAGTTGCCAGCCTTAATAGCGTATGGTTGCTCAGTACTGTATATATTTCTAATACATTTTTAGTCTCTGTGTATACATCATAAGTATATGGAGTACAGTACTTCATAATAAGTGTAACAATACAAAAGGCCTGTTGCCATATGGCTGATGACCTTTCTAATGGTCAGGTCCATGCTTTGATCTTTACAGTCCTGCATTTTGATTGGTCAGTTGGTTCTACCAATTAAATCAGGTTTCAAATACAAGATGTTTTTGTTATTATTATGAGCGCTTGTAGTGGTGGTGCCCGTAACAGTATATTAATGCATATGTTTATCAGCTATTGATTGATCTGGTGGAATTGTGTGGCAAGTACCATACCAGCTCTTCATATACAAATTATAATTCATACAAGTAATTTGGATACTGAACAATGAAAACATTTTTTTTCTTTGTATTCTGCATTTTAATATATTGTTAGTAGTAATAATTTAAGTGTTAATTTGCATTTTTTGTAACTCAAAATAGAAAATAATAAATGAAGGTATAAATACTGAATGTGATAAATTCAATCCATAATAATACCTATACTAATTGATAGTTGCGTTATAATTAACATATAGTTATGTTATGTACATTTATATTTACATAACCTTCAATAACTGTTAGGATATTAATTAAATTATGGTTACAGTAAAAGTATGTTTATTCATATTTCAATTTAAATTATGCAGTAAGAATGTTCTTATTGTCTTAAAATTAATGTTATTTTCATAGTTGACATTTAAACATTTAAAATAATAAGAATAATATATGCATACATGTATCTTTCGTATTTAAATACATTACAAATGTATCTTAAGATTATTTACATATCATGATACAAGAATAGATATGTAGATAGCTTGAATAATTATAAGTGTATTTGTAATTTTTATGACGAACAAATATTAATCATATTTATGAAGGTGAAATAAACAATGCAAATATCGGTCGTTGTTAATTTACCGCTTTTAGGTTGCTTGCAATTATTTTGCTTTTGTGGAACCTGCTTTTACACATAAGGGTGTGAGAAAATATCTCTTCACACCTCGTTATTCAGTGCAAAACTACATCTAAAAAACACAATGAAGAAATGACCTGTATTCCGACAAAAGTGACTCATCTGATATTTATTATAGATATTGAAGTGGTTCACTTAAGTTAAAATGAAACAATATGGAACCCTCAGGCCTTATTTCTACAATTATGGCAAGGAGGATTGTTAGTGTTGTTTATTTTTTCTTCAATGGAAAAGTTCTGCGTTCAAAAACAGTTTTAAAATGGATATGTGTACAATTATTTTTATTGTTTACGTGTATTTGTTCAGTCTTCATAGCTTTGGAATAGAATTTCAGATCGTTGTATACGTAAGCTTTCAAACTGCCTTTGTGCTTTGGCTCGCGTATTGTAGATGGAATTGTTTCGCATCATTGAACATATCTCCCAGAAAAGGGGTATTAGAGTTAATGTATAACAACGCAATCTTCAGGCTTGAGGAGATTCTCTTGAGGTTTGCCACATTCAAGGAACCTTGAACCGTCAGCACGTTGACGGGTTCGCTGCTTACGTACAATACAATGCATACACAATATAAAATATAAGTCCTTACAGCATCCAAAATATCGCATGGGAACTGGGATTAAGAACCATTGGTTTTCAATATTTGATCCGGTGCAGTTGGCAGTTATCCACCCTGAAGTAATTTGATTTTGATTGAATACGCGATTCAATAAAAAGTGCACATGTTTTGTAGCCGCATTTGTGGTTCATTTATTATTATTGTTCTCCATTTTATCATTATTGTGACTATTATTGTCACATTATTTCAATTACTATTATATATTAATATGTATAAATAACCTATTCTAAACTCAATTTGTTGTTTAATTTCTCTAAAATGAATTTTGGTAATTGTGTTGTGTCCTTCAGAATCCAGCTTAGCAAATAGGATTTTTTTTCTAGTAACCGTGGAGCCGTTTAATGACTGCATATTTTTTGTGTATGAATTAGCTTTGTTTGGGTATAGCGCTGGCAACATGTAAAGTAGCTTGGTTACCTAATGGCAAAAATTATGACCTTTGTAACATAATCTTCAATGTTGGAAGTTCAGTGCATTATTAAATTCTATTCAACCTGTTAATGAAGGTTTTTATCTATTGGTTGTGAAAGTTTTAAGATAAAATTTGAGATATCTGTAAGTAAGTCCATAAATTAAATTTGGTATTTAGAGAAAAAATTGCAATACATTTCTCTCCAAATTTTATTTCAAAATCACTAGTTGGGTACGTTATTATTTTTTTTATTTATATGAACCAAATCACATTCTAACGTACTGCTCATCCCCGAAAGCTATAAATGTTAAATAGTATTTTATAAATTATTCATCCAATAGATTGTATTTTTCTTAATTTATTTGTTTTCTCTCTCCGCAGTCCTCAGGCAAGACGACAAAGTCAACGACAAAGGGAAAGACAATCACGCAATCTTCACAACAACAATAGTAACAATAACGTATCAAGTGGTCTAGCGCCCTCTAGTGAAAGAACAGCATTCCAGCCTCCAATCCCAAACCAAAGGCCCTATCCTTCGTCAACGTCCCAAACGATGGTCCAGCCCCATATTATCATTGATTTCAATGACTTAGCTAGAAATAGACAAGTTCCGGTAAGAATTATTTTTTATTTAACTATATCTATAAATAAATATTGAAATTGTTCCTCTCTTTTATTTTAGTACTTTTAACCTTGATTCACAGCAATACATTACAGAAGAGTAATATGAAAATAAACAGCATTTTATGTTTTCCTTGGAAAAGTTTGGGAGTCTGTAAAGAATGTCATCATACCAAACTAGAGAGCCAGACAGTTGGCATTTGTATTATATAATGTCGATTTAGATTATTCCTACTTTTTATTATGTATTTACTGTTCTTTTTCTACATTATTCCAATAATTATGCAGTTCTGGATTGATTAATACAGTTATGCATAATCAGAATGTTTCTATATAAATCATCTATATAAAGAAAATGGATACACAAGAAATTGGATATAAGAAAAGGAACTGAAAAAAAGTAGGATACAGAAAATGTGGTCCCTCAATCAAATGTAATAATTGAATGCAAAATCATTTTGCTTTTTCAATGATTTTTGTGGCAATTCAATTCTTTTTTTGAACATTTTTTTTATGACATTTATAATAATATGTGTCCAATTATTCTTTGTTCATCTATTACATTTTTTTCATTACTTGAAAATGTATTGAATATAATACACACAAAAAAAAAACTTAGTGCTATCTTATTGCTATTTTATTTTCAAATTTTTTTCAGAGATTAACAAAATAAAGAAAAACTCATTAAATTCTCTATCCATTCTTTTTCTATTTAATTTCACTTTTTGTTTTTTAGATGGAATGTGAAAAAAATGGTACCAAAAGAATATGATTACATAAATCTTTAATTTCTGTGAAATGGAAAATTGGAAAAAAAAATTATTTAACAGGTGTAAAGTACATTTAATTTTTGATGGTTGGATTTTTATCTAATATTATGCATTTTATCCACTATAATACACAAACTATTGCAGTACACTTTTGATGTGATTTCATTATGGTTTTTATATGTTTAATTTTGTCTTAATTTACTTGATTTTCAATAAATTTTGTTTGGTCCTTTTATTTCTTTCAGATACCCGTGTCAACAACCACAGTTCCTGTATCCATCCCAGTTTCAATGCCGACATATGCAGTTCCTATTTGCACCGGTCACTCAATTCCGGGATGCAACCTCCACCATGGACCATACACAACGATACCCCACTGCAATACTCCCCACCCACCACCATTTCCTGTCTGTGGTGTGGGACACTTCCCTCTATGTAGCGTAACTCAATTGCCTGGATGTAATTCACATCATATGCCTGTCACGCAGCCTGGTGTGCCATCGTTCTTTACGCATGAGATGCTAATGGCTCATCCGCACCTCCACCATCATGCACCCCCAGTACAGTACATCCCCGCACCCCCTCACCAGGTAAAATTTCTTTATCTTGTGCTAATTAGGAATTTATTTTTATAATTCCGTATAAGTGTAATTGTCCTATGTTTGTGTGATATTGATGATTTATAATGTAAAATTTATAATGTAAAATAGTGAAACTGCTACATGCTACATTGCCTAAACTCAGGCATGGAAAATACTGAATGTTTACATTTTCAAAGCCTTCGAGAGATGAATGCCTACCTACTCACCAAAATTATCAAGTGAATATGTCAGATTGTATTTGACTTTAATGTTAGTCATGTGTCAAGGTTATCTGAGATTTTCTCTCCTCTCCTCCCTGCAGTTTTTTTTTTCATTTATCTTAAATTACACCCTACATAAATTCAACATTAAAGGTAGATAACAAAAATATCAATCAATTAATTTGTCTGGAACCAAAACATCTGTTTCTCCAGACAATTTTGGAGTTTGCTTGACTTTAACGACACAATAAATTGTATATTGAAGAATGTATGAAATCAATGCCAGGTAGATCAATAAAAAACGCCAATCTTTATTTACATCAGCCTAGACTTTTCGCAGACTAGAATCTTACAGGTCGGCAACAGTAGACATCCTTCTTAATTAGAAGTTATTCTCAACTAATTTCTCTTACCATATTCAGCTTGAAAATGTTCCAATTTTCTGTCACATCAAAATCCTAAATCGAATGAAAACAATAATTTTCACTTCATCTCCTGCAATTATAGACTATACTTGAAAAAAGATCTAAAAAGAACCTATAGGGAATTGAACACATCACTGCTGGTTTAACAGTTGATCTCCCTTTGCTATGTTTATTAGTGTTTGATAAATTAGAGAAAGATGGAAAACAACAATCTCCATAATAATTTAGCCATGATCGGCCTGAGATGAAGTGTTGTTGGACAAGGTATTGTCCAGTACAAGAAATTGTAAATCAAGTTGTGTACTGTTAATCACTTATTCACCAAGACATCTAAATCCACTTATTCAATCAATTTCAGTTGCATCGTATGCTCTACGTAATTAAAAGAGCATGAAATTGTTTTTATAGCAGCTGCCAATAGATATTGTCCTAAAGTTTTTGTGAATTTATAAAAAAAAATTTTTTATTTATTTAGAAAAGCAAAGGAAAAACAATTATTATTATTTATTATTTTTAAAATTGTAAAACACACTCATATTTGGTATTTTGTATTTTATAGGTAGTGCATGAATAAGATAAAAATTTATTTCATAATATAGTAATGATGATGATGATGATGTGCTACATTCATATTTTCCTGGTATGTTCTTGTAATTTAAGACGCATGATATGCGGCCTAATTTTATCATCTTTTCTGCTTCATATTTGTTTATATACACAACAAGGTAATATTATGTTTATGGATAATTAAAAATGTGAATTTAATTCTTATGTTCAAAATGGATCCTATCATATTCTGTTTTTTTTTGTTTTTTTTTTGTTTTTTTACAAAAATTTATCTTCTTTTTCTAGCATGCTCGGCAACCTGAAGTGGAGCTAATATCAGAACGGCCAGCACCATTTCACCATGTGCATTCCTTACAACATACGCACTCGTTGAATCAATCTACCCCTATGCACATGCTGCCCGAGAGTATGATTCGAAATCCAGCAGCCGATGTTTTGCATATGGTAAATAGAAATTTTTATTATTGTGTTCATTTTTAGGTGGTGGGTTGGTCTCCAAAATATTGTTATCATTTAGACATTTTTTGACCCCCCCCCCCCAAATATCTTCATAACAGTTTTGACATTTTGTGAGTCTAAAATTTCTTAACCATTTTGACATTTTTGGTTTTGTTTTAAATATTATTTCATATGAGAGAAAGCATTTTATATTGGAATTAGAAAACTGGTGTGTTTGATTCCTATTAATATATTTTAAATATAATTTTTTTTTATTCAGGGGCGGATCCGGAGATGTCCAAAAGCGGGGGGGGGGGGGGGGAAAAGGGGGGGGGGGGGGGGAAGCCCCCGCAAACTTTTTGTGTTCTAGACGCCCGAAAATAAAATTTTTGGCGTTCTGGGTTATTATTTTTTTCTTTATCCTTCTTTTTTTCTTTTTTTTGACATCCCAAATGGGAGTGGGGGGCCAGGCCCTCCTCCCCTACCCCTAAATTTCCCTGTTAATTATTCATTTTTAATATTTTAATTATTCCTTTTAAAATTATTTTTGTTTTATTATTTTTTATATCTAATATGACTGTATCCGTGTGTTGATAATACATTGCTATTGTGATGACCACATGAATGTCTGTCTCTTATACACATCTAGATGTGTATAATAATGTATATATATATATGTGTGTGTATATATGTATAGATTGCAATAGCTGAATTTCTATTAAATTATCTGTTTTAGCTTGTAATTGATTGATAAATGGATGAAATTGTTAGATATATCATGTGTATATATTATTATTTTAATTTTTTTATCTTTTGTATTTCTGAAAAATAAATAACTTTGCTTTCCCATTTTCAGCATCCAAGACTTAGTCGACCAAATGTACACCCAAGAAGACAGATCCGAGGTATGTGGCGTAGCCCACCGGTTCCACCTCAGCCAACGTATACAAGTGGGCTTCTTCTACACTACATGTAAGTACAACCAAATTGATATCTCAATATACACCTACATTGAAATTTGTTTATTTATCTGTTGCCTAATCAATTAATGCTCAATTTATATTAATATTCATTTAATATTATATCACATAGAAAATATTATGGCACTTTACACTTTGTATTGATTTGCTAGAAGAGAAAAAATGGATGTGTTCATTGAGCACCCACTGGAAACATGCTATTGTGGTACCTACCTAGTGTAAAAAAAACTATAATACAACTGAACTGACTCCTAGTAGAGTTACCATGTTGCGTTAAATGATCCTTTATTTTCTTAAGCTAGTATTACTATGAGGATTATTAGTGACTAATGATGGAGACACTATTAATGATGATTTAGGATCATTCTCCAGTATTTCAATAGAACCACAGAAGACTGTTAAACTCTGATATTGAGAATTGCTTAATTGAATAAACAAACTATTATGCATTTGTCTTTCAAATGAAAGTATTTCTTAGACAGAATGAAATCTTCCACCCTAGTGTACAGTCTAACCTGCCACAACACTGAAAATTACAACATAATCTATTTTACGATTGTACTCAGAAAGATGTAATCAGAAAATTTTCTTGAACTACAAGCTCTAATTACGATTTCAAGAAATATAACTTGGATTTAAAATTTGAAATATAGAATTCAAATATATATTTTTTTAACAATTATGTTGGAACATAGTTTGATGCATTTTAATGATTACAGTCATATATTGACATATTTTCATTATTATAATTGTGTAATGATGATAATACTTATTGCATTGATATTACTTCCCATTATCATTATTTTATGGTTTATTATATAAAACATAAAAGTATGTTTTTATCATCACAGTATGTCAGTGACATTGACTTGAAGGAAATAATGAGACTGAATGATTATTAAAGTAATTATCAAAACCATTACAAATGCATCAATAATATTCCAAGACACAAAATTTTAACAGAACTGAAGCTGAAAGATAGGTAAACAGAGAGTAGAATATCCAGGGATGTGGTAGTTAGCTGCATGTTTGATTACATATTGAGACGAGATTAGTGAAAGAAAAAAAAAACGAATGACTCATCGGACTATAAACGAACCTGTAATCAATCCATCACGAATCGACGTACATGGAGATTCGCTGATGGCTGAAGTCGAGCAAGCTTAATGCAATGATACGACAGGGAGTGTTTTTCTTTGGTGGATTACTATTATCGAAAACAAAATGTTAAACAATGATTTTTATCCCAATTCATTGCATATACTGATTTGATAGATTTGATGTTATATCAGTTTAAAACAAATTCTGTTACTACAAATACAAACATTTTCAAGAAAGGATTCATTGTTTCATAAATAATTTATAATTAAATAATAATTGTGTCTGTATAATTATCATTTGTTCCGATTTTGATGATTAATATTACTGCTATTTATATTATTATAATTATTTACAATTGAGTGCTATTTTGTACTAAATATTTTGTTTAATTGCTAATATATAATGTTATTACATATGTACATGTATTTATAAGTGAAATGAAATAAAATTTTGTTAAGAAAACATAGATATAAACATAATGGATATGGAAATGTGATACCTAAATGATACACTGTAATATAAGATGGAATATGTAGTTTTTATCTTCATAATTTGATGATAGACCAACACACTGTTAAAATACACCGTGCTCATGGTGATTAGCTAAGTAATTGTCTACATGATATGAGAACAATGCCAACATTATGAGCATCCTTTAAAGTTCTAATCAACATCGCCGATTCTTCATCTGGCGACTTTCATTACTTTATATGCATATTATGCAAATTACCTTACACATGGGTTCATTGTCATACTAATGAGGAAGAATTACTAAAATTTTCATTTATCTTTGCCCCATTATATTTTTTGTCAAGATAATTTCACCTTAAAATTAAATTATGAATATGTATAATTTATAATGTTGGATAGGAGAGGGCGCTGATTATTTATCACTGACTGAGGAGGCTTACAATTATTTTTTTTCTTTCAAAAGTGTACCCAATGCATCAGTTGCTCCAACAGCATATGGAGTTAACTTGGACAATGAAAATGCAGAAGTAGAAAACTATGAGGTAAGCTTTGTTTTTTTTTAATGCAGAAAATCAAAGTGTATGTTTATTATTATATTTTAAATATAAGTTTTTAATATTTTTAGAACATTATTCATCATATTTGTTTTTAAAATTCATGGTTTGTTTCAGTCTCCTTGTAAATTTTAATTTGAGATACACATTATTATTATTATTATTATTATTATTATTTTACTATATGCACTAAGTCGGACTTAAAGGACAAATCTTTCTTGTTATTTTCCCCTTAACGTCATGTTATTTTTTTTCCATTGTCTAAGTTCCCCTTAAGGTAGGTGTTAGTTACATTATTATTATTATTATTATTATTATTATTATTATTATTATTATTATTATTATTATTATTATTATTATTACTTTGATTACTATTTTCACTATTATTTATGTTCTTAATTATATTTGTTATAACTTTTTCTTCCCTTGCTTTTCCAGGCTTTGTTAAACCTAGCTGAAAGACTCGGTGAAGCAAAACCAAAAGGTTTAACGAAATCAGCCATCGATCAGTTACCATCATATCGCTACAACCCTGACACACACAAATCCCATAATGACCAAACATGGTAGGTTCTAACATTGCAATATGCCATGAAAACAACATGTATCTCAAGAATAATAAACATAATAGTAATGATAATATTATAATTAAAATAATTATAAAATTATTTTATAATGAAAATTATAATTCAAAGTTTAGGCATCATTGATAATTCAGTAATTTGCATAGAATTTTATAAGGTGACAGGTATTATGTTAATGAAAGTAATTGACATCACATTGATGACAATAATAATTTATGTTTGTTGATCTCAATTTACCACTTTATATGTAATGATAATTATGTAAATTGATTATTATATTAATAAAAATGATGATGATGATAAGGACAATATTAATAATAATAATAATTTAATATTATAATAATAACAATTATAATAATTTAGTAATATAATATTAAGCAATTAGTAGAGCTCCGCATAGTACACTATAGGAAAATTATTATACGAAGGTTAGATTTAATGCTTGAAAAAATTTTCTGAGGGACTGCAAGGCCTGAAGGAAATTTTTGAATGCATTAAATCTAACCTAAGTATAATAATTTTCCATTAGTGTACGATGCATGCTCTACTAATTGCTTTATAAGTCAATCGCCATCGTTTAATGTTAGTTTTTGATAACCAACTATTGTTGTAGCAGTCATCGGTTGCTATAGTGATATGATCAGTCTGTGTGCATATTTACATTAAGCTGTGTGTATGCTGATTTGTGCTCCAGCAGTACGCGTTAACTACACATCAGCAGTACGGATACGTAGTAACAGATACGATGAATAACTATTGTAATTTGTATTAGAAAAACTTGTTTGTAATGCTATTTTGGTAGACATTCGTCAAAGAAATAAACATTTCAGCATTCAAGAGAGAATACAGTCACATACCTTTTTGGTCGGTGCAGACAGGTAAAAATCGTGAGATGATTTCATAACTAGCTATGGCCTAGCTAGTAGTAGGAGGAGGCCTCAGCAGCCTCCTTCCTGGCCGTAGGCCTACATCTAATTTCGTTCCTTGAGTCCTTAAAATAGGTCTAGAATATTGCTAATAAATTTCACTTTGTTTTGTTTAATAGGGTTCATTGATTCAATGACTTCCTTAATTGTTCATACTTAATATTGAATTTGAAGTAACTTTCTTTGGGTTCTAATTAAGTTTGTTTTACGAAAGTAATTTTCAATTACAATTCAATATTCATCGCGGTGTGCGATGTCTTCGCGGTGACGAAATGAGGATTTTTTTTCCGCACACAAACCCAAAAAAATCAAGCCAAGCGTCCACTATTGAAAAATTATTGGAATGTGGGGATAGGCAAATAACATTGGGAGTTGCAGTGATGACGTCACGATTGACTTATAAAATATTATAGCACAATATATATTAATATAATAATACAATAATATAATAATATATAATAATGATATTAATAATACAATTGGTAATATTGTTTGATTATATAATCCTTCATAAGCTTGGTAATAATGACTGCCTCAATATTAATATCTTGACTGTTAGGTTGTATCTGCATTCTCTTGTCTTATCTGTAACGATCAAAGTCATTCTTTTATCTCCTCCATACATCTTAGTATGTTAACAAGGTTTATCACAAAGCAATGAGGTAATGTTATGTTCTAACCTTTATCTAACAGAGTTTCTGATTAGTCAATATTTAAATCAGTTTGCTCAGCAAGGCCTGTGATCCAATTAAGACTCTCAGTTTATTTTAAGTACTCCAATCCGATAATGCTTGCCTATTCCATCATAAACAAACCTAGATAGATGTTAGCGTCATCATATACTTATTTTTTATTGCCTCAATTTTTATATCTACAAGTACAGTATATTTGACCCACAAACATAATTATATTATTTGATGTTTATCATATTTTCATGCTGATAATAATAATGGCATATATTTACAAATATATGTATATATCAGAGACGATAACATAACTACAAAATTATTATTATAAAACCAAATTAAAATTACTTGCTGCTAATAACTGAATATTGTTTGTTATTCAGGTGTTAAGTTAACAAACCAAAATCAGTTTCACAAATGAATTTACATGTTGACTTATTTCATATTTTGTTTTCATTTCCTCTTGTTTAGTTGCGTTGTGTGCATGTCTGAATTTGAAACAAGACAGTTGTTGCGAGTTCTTCCGTGCAGCCATGAATTTCATGCCAAATGCGTCGACAAGTGGCTGAAGACGAACCGCACCTGCCCGATCTGCCGTGCCGATGCGTCCGACTTGGGCAACACAACAGAATGAGTCCATTGAACGGACACCTGCAGATGCTTCCTGTCACCTTCGGGGGTGTAGCATCAACGTCGTGTCCTATTGCAGCCGTTGGCTTGATTGTTGTTATTTTCTCTTTGAGCTGTTCAAATGGCTGATCAGCCAAATCGAGTGTATTTGCAGATTATAGCACAATATATGATAGGGTTAGCTGTGCTGCTCTTTATAAGCTTGTGGTGGTCGTGACCAAATTACCTGATTAATTAACTCGTTTATTGATTAATTAGCTTCCAATCATGGAACAATAACATATTTTTATTATCGATTTTCATATTTTTTTCTATATATGGATTATCTATTCGTATATTTTTCTTTGTTCATATAGGGAATGTTTATTTTTCCATATAAGGAATTTATTTCCATATATGGAATATATATATCCATATATGGCTGTTTGCCAAGTGTTACGTATTATTATAATAATAAGCTGCACCTTTAAACTTCACATGTATTGTGTATGTAATAATCTCAAGTTTAAATCACAAAAATTTAGTGCCTAAGTTTTTTTGTATTCCAAAAATGCCTTTGAATGTATCTAATGCCAACTATCTTACAATCAGTATTTATAGGGGATTTATGTTAATGTTGATTTTAATGCTTTTTTTTTTGGTTGTTATTTGTTTGAAAAATGTTAATTATATATGTTTGTGCTAGACCCTTTCACTATAGATTTAATCAGTACTGTATTATCAATAGGGTGTTGTTTTTTGCAAAAAGAATCGTAATATAATAGCAATAGATACGTAATTTTTAGAAATATTTTTGTTAGATGTTTTCTTTAAATTTTATTTTTAAGACTTCCAACATACTATGGAGGACTTAACTGTCCATAAATATTGATCAAATTTGATACCAAAATTATTATTTTATACTACCATAATATCCATCCAATTTTTAATGGATTTTTTGTAGACTGGTTTAGTGAGTTTTAATTGATTTTTTGAAATTCATTTATGCATGTTGTATATTATTACAATAGAGGTGTTCTTATATGTGGTAAACTAACCAAAGCACATGAATATAATGAATTATCCGGTATTTATTGTTGTAGAACTCAGAAGATAAAATGATAATTAGGTCACACTGCTTGGAAAAAATTCAATTCATTTATTCTCTGCTCACACTAAATTCCTTCACCTAGCCATTCATTTATATTGTCTACCATGCTTGATGTATCCATTATCTGGTTGTAAAAGTTACCACATTGATCATTCAATCAAAGCTGTCTTCCTAATTTGTAGTAGACCTCACCTCTTATAATTTACGTCCACTAGAATTTATTTGGTGTTATAAATTTAAAATTTTATATTCTTAATGCATGCATATGGATACTAGACGTTTATGGACTGGATTTTCATGCATACATTCTATTAAATAGCTCTTTGATAGCATATAGTTAATTTGCATGTTCTTAGGTTTGTGAACACCAATGTAACATCTGTTACTTAATGTGGTTATGCTACATAGAGGATCAGCCACATTAGTTTTAATCTTTTCTATCCAACACTTGTACTCCACCCATCCCCACCCCACAAATGTGCACCCAACCAACATGCAGTTGCTTGAATCAGAAATAGTATGTTGGAAATCTTAAAATGTTGGTAACAATTTTCGATTAAGTGTGGATGTCTGCATTGGAGATACATGCTTAGATTTGTCAGCAGGGCATTATTCTTGTTAACATCATCATCTAAAGTTGCGGGCACCATCTTAATAATTAATGGCAGGGGATGCTTTTTGTAAATCATTATTTTTTATAGTTTTATGAATAACTTTTAATTTGAGGTGTTGTGCAGTGTAGCACTTTAAATGTGATGCGATGATCATTGCTCTCACAAGCATTGCTTACATGAGCATCGCTTGAATGAGCATAGCTTCAATGAGCATCTCTTTCATGAGGATCGCTTCCGTGAGCATCGCTCACACTCAGTATCACTAATTCAGGGTAATAATTTCTATTAATGTTTTGATTTATTTCTTAAATTATTATTTAACAACTCAAATTTTACCAATAATAATGGTGGATTAATTTGATTGCTTGGTGAGTTTGTGGACATATTTTCCATAAAATCTTGTTCAAATTAATTGAAATAGTAGAAATGAATTAGCATATATCACATCTATGGAATTTTATTAACTAGCACAAGAAAAAGTTAAATATATAAAGTATATGCATGGAATTTTGAAAAGGAATATGACTGTGTATTGTAATATGTTCACTATTCAAGTAGCTGTAACCAGGCTTTAAAAGTAACAAGCACAGATTTAGAATGCACTTTTTAGGGCAAGTTATTCCATATGCCATATGTGTTTATATGGCATATGTGTCCATGTGCATTGTGCAGAAAATAATTCTTGCTGCTTGTAAAGAAATATGTTAACAATTATGTATCTGGTTTATGAAAGAAAAAAGCAATTAACTAATATTTTAAATATTAAAACATGCTTTGAAGTAATAGAGATTAATTAGGTTACTTGGGCAGGTTCGATCAAATATACTTCTATTTTTAACTAACATTTAGCCCAAATCACATTCAAGCCTATTCACATTTTGTTTTGCATGTGTTTAGAGTTTTATGATATGACAGTATTTATAAATTTTTTTAACAATTTTACTTAGTAATTTGCAATATGTATCTATAGGTGTAGATGAATCTGACTGAGATGGATAAAATTGCTGTGTACTCTCCAACTCAATATGCACTCTTTACATAAGGGAATGAAAAGATAACAAAAGTAACACACATATTTAGAATGATATCTGTTACATGTATTGTAGTTTTTTATATTTCTTTATCACAGGAGAACAATTAGTAAACAAAAATTGCGATAAAATATTTGGAACAAGTTTGTGAAATTTGGATTAATAAATCAATTTTGATTAAAGCACCCTATTGATGAATTTCCAATCACAAGTAATATTGTCATTAAAATAATTTAATTGCTCAAATTTTACAAAGATGTTCCAATGAAAAAAAAGACAATAGAAGTGTTTATTTTGCTGCTAGTATCTACGTAGCTACCTCATTACTAACAAATTAGTGTGATTAATTACAAGTCGTCGTTAAGATTGGTTTGATTGGAGGAATACTAAAATGTATGTGTTGGTAAAATTACTACTAATATTGTGCTATAACTGTTTTGCTTATATCTGTTCACTACGATCATCAATATATACATACCAGGGATATTAATGGTATACTTTAATTAGTTTAGCTGATCAGAAAATGTGCCTTTTAAATAACTAAATGGAATCAATTAATTAATGGATGTGTTTGTCTTATTAATTTATCCATTGCATATAATTAATATTGTGTTTTTATGTCATAGTAAACTTAGAAGAATTTATAAAACCTTGTATAAACAAAATTAACATATAATTCACAGGATAAAATAGACTAAAAAATATAATGTAATTTTAATGCAACTTAGACGAGTCAAATTAATGTACCACTGACATACACTATGCTACATGTATCACATCATTGTTTTAGCTTATTTCAATTTATACAATTAATGATTACTTATTGAAACTTGCTTTTGTCACACATAATGATTGAACACTAATTAATACCAACTTAATTGGCATAGATTTATGTATTAGGGTTTACATTTATTTAAATTATATTTTATTATCTCAAAATGCCTTTGTTATTATTTTAAACTTTCAAAGATAATACTTGTCTATTCCATAACCCATACTGTCCTATTTTTTATCCATGTTAAGTAAAGTGTTGTGTTTTAAATGGCTTTGTTTCTCATATCAGGTTTCTCCATGGTGTTTTAATAAATAAAGACGTATAAAATTCAGTAATAAGCTTAGATACGGTTTCCAGATGAGGATTTCTACTTAATACTAACCAAGAAGTGTAGTCTTGCTATTCAATATGCAAAACATAGGGGTTTGTAGTTTGTGGTCCAGTTGATACATAGTGTTGTACGTTCGCATTACATGAATGATCTCTGAAGGTTCTGATATTGTGTGGTTTGGTCTTCTATGGGCTAAAATAGCGGTAGACGTTGGTTAATATCTAGACGTAGACAAACAAGCTTAATGTGATCAGCTAGGCAAGTAAAGAAAGGCAGTATGCCAGCCAAAAAATAAGTCTTGCATATATATTTATGCCTAAGCATGTTCTCATACAATAGTCGTAAATTGTTCAAAATAATTGTGAATTACAAACACAACTTTGTTGTCGTGAGGGAGACATTGTGTTCCTGTGGATGTTCAGAAGAAGACCTTGCACTCACATTTGTTTTGGTAACGTCACTAAGGATTTATGGTTTTTGTAGAGAGCAATATGAGCTTATAAATTAACTGGCTATCTAAACACAAGCATTGTAAATCAATGGCATATAGATCTTTGTCACTTTCCTCACATTATACTTATGTACTACCAAATATGAAATAGTCATCACAGAATTTTCTTGAACATTTCATAATTGACAAACATTGTGATTCACATAAACAAAATGATTGTAGTTGCCTGTGTAAAACTGAAATGGCTAAAAAGCTCTATTCACATCAAAATTAATTAGAGGTTTGTTTAGGTCATTTGCAAATGTTTATTATGGTGGTGGTACCTAGTTTTAATGTAACTTTAATGCGGTTGTTCTTTGATGGCGAACAGTAAATGTGAATTTGAAGTTTTCACACTTTCCTGTAGTCGCTTTACAACTACAGTAGTTGTTCTTTTGGTTGCCTACAATAATCATATACCATAGACCCAGGTTGACCTGTAAACCTGGTTGACTTGTCTGTGATCCTTTGAAATTTTGAAGGTTTTCGTGTTGTTTGGTGTTTGCTGGGCTTGTTTCTTGAATTGCATTTGAATGCTGCCTATCTAAGCAGTTAAAGAAAAGCAAAAATACTGTAATTTAAATATTGTTACAACAGTTTGGAAGAAATTGGTGTTTTTGTTTGTGGCTCTACATTTTATGAGTTTTCTTGCCAACACACTGAAAGAGGGATTAGCAGCTCTAGAACATCCTCATTTATCAGGCTACCCTTAATTTGCAACAATTAGGCTCACTATAATAAGTATGTTATACTTAGATAGAAGCACTAGGCTGCCCTCACGTTTGTCCCCTGATAGGTATTAACTGATATTATAACTCCACAGTTGGTCATCACTTCTTTAAACAATTCTTTTTGGTATAGGGACATCAAAGGGATTTATTAGCAATAATGTCATGATTGAGAAACATTTGGGAACTGTTTTTTTTTTTTACTATTTGCTATTTTAGCATTGTCTATAAGTTGTTGAAATATTGCATTCCACTTTGTAAATCTAATCTATTCAGTTTCTTGATATTGTGTATTCAATGTTAGATAAATTAATACATTCAAATTTTTGTTTAAGATGAGTTGATCTTTTTTAGATTTTCAAATCTTTTTATCTTGCATTTGACTTTATCTTTTGTGTAATTTCTCCTTTGCTATTCACTTTCAGTTTTGGTTTCTTATTGCTTATTTTGGAAAGTAGCGTGTTTGTATTCTAGTTGCGATCAGTTATATCGATATGTTATTCAACTACAGTATTGACATTGAGTTCCCAAATGCTTTATTGACCAATTTGATAGCCATTAGGAATTTTGATCAAACCCAAGCTGATTGGCTTGCGAGATCCACTCATGTGCTTGTGAGTGCTTGCAAGAAACTCATTAGAAAAGCCCCAGTATCCTTTACATGCAAAATAGTGTTTTTCCAAACTTGCCCATTTCTCAGGAATAAATTTTTAAGGGGTATTTTCATGAGTAAAATTGTGTATGTTGGGATTTTTTTGTTATTGGGATGTTTGTTTAATTTATTTTATTTTTCTTGTGTCATTGAAATTTGCTTGTTATTCTTAATGTGTATGTAATGCAAAGGCCTTTGCAGAGAGCTAAGTCATATGTATACTTGTTATCTCGCCATGCTGCTTATGTCTTATGTATGTTAACAAAAATCCAAAGAAATGTTATTGCACCAAATTTAATATTGTTTGTGTCTAGGTTGTTAGGGGACTAGATATCGTATACATCTTAGTTGCGGGTGATGGACCAAGTTCTTGATAGCTTATTAATCAGAATGATATTGATTTTTTTTATGCTTGTGGTATTTTGCTATAGCATTAGAATTTGGACAATCACATATCCAGAGTTTTTGGGGCATGTATGATAAGAATGGAAAAAAAAAACAAATATTGTAAGCTTCTTTTCAATTATCTGTAGTTTAAAATGGACAATATGGAGTGTGTATCACTTGTAATGGCATTGTAGACTTAAACAAAAAAAAAATAACATGTACCTTATTAATTACATGGTATGTTTAATTTAATTTATATTTACTTACGGCTCAAGCCCTATAGAAATATTAGAGGTTTTTAATGGTATTTCATTCAGACCTAACAAATACAATTGTCGTAACTAAAATTTACAGAATATACTGCAAAATATAATTATTTTGCTGTGTCGAATTAATCCAATATTACATTACTAATACTCTACAAAATTCCCAGCTTGGAAATACATTTTAAAATTCTGTTGCACTGAAATTACATATCTTTTTTATTTAATTTGCAATTTCTTTTTTAACTTTTTTGTTGGTTATTTTTTCTTGAATTATGCAAATGAGGTGGTAGGAAATGTATCTACCACTTTTGTGTTTGATGTGTTTTGTTTTAATATGCAACACAACTTAAAAAATCCTGCCCATCAATTGTAAAACATTGGGTACAAATATAATATTATTCTGCCAACCATACCTTGTAACTGTACAATGGAATCTGTATTCCTACACATTTATAATTAGTGTCAAGCATTTGTGTTTCATGCAAACACTTGGTTTTAAATGAAATTTGCTAAGGGTTTTATTTTTTACAATTTTCTTAGCGTTAAGCAATGGGTTTTTTATTCAAACCCGCTATGATATACCTTGATTGAGTTTCGTATATTAATTTTGCCTAGTTTTTCATTCTATAAATGATTAAAAACCATTATAGAATGATTGTAAGCTTTGATTATTAGAAATGTTATGGTGCTTTTCAGATGTAATGTGGGTGCAGATTCAATAATCCATGTTGCTATTTTATTTTAACATTTTAATTTCGTTTTTTTAATTGTTTGCTTTTAACTGTTGATCAGGTTTGTTAATAAATACTACTAGAGCAACCGATAACTTAAGTGATATCATCAAAGATTGCCCTCCTTGCTTGGCCATTTTTCAATTTAATTCCGCTGTTATTTTCTTCCTGATTTCAATCAATGTTTGCTTCCATTTTTAACAGCTACATGTTTTACATAATAATAATGATAATTATATTATTATGATCTTAAAAGAAATTGTTCACCCTCAGTAAGGGAGAAATAATACACAATCATGCAAAAAAAATTGAAAAAGATTCTCATATTGTTAAACTACAGGTCTGTTCATCTCCATTTTGTCATGGGATGTTAGCTTTAGATTGTTGTGTAAAAATGACCGTGAATCAATAAGTATTTGCCATATCTTCCAGCTTGTAAATTTGGGAATTGATGTTACTTTTTTTTTTTGGCTTCTAGATTTAAAGGGCGCCCTCTGTAGACATTAACAATCGTAATTTTTTCACGAGTTGTGTGGATTTTTAATGAGAATCGACACAACTCTTACGGTATATGTTTATTCAGTTTATGATCGTGCTTATCATTACTATTACTACTACTACTACTACTATTATCATTATGATATTGTTTTTATTAAAAATAATATGGATGTTACGGAAGAGGTGATGACTGTAAACGTAGATTTTAAGTATCCAAGAGTTGGTGTGTGCGTGTGCTTATGGCGGTTTTTGTACTATGGTCGTAATCTAACAGCCCAGAAAGCAGAATTATAACACTGCAAAAAAAAGCATTATTTGTGTCTGTCTGTTTTTATTTTTTGTCTCCAAACTATCATCATTTTCATTAAATCGTCGTGGCATTACCGTGGAGGGAACATTCTGAACATAAACAAACAAAAACATGGAGAAAGTCTTTAAAAAAATTAAAATATTTTTCTAATTCCCTCGACGAGCAGATGTTACATTATTGCTACTGTATACTCGTGTGTAATACTGTACATGTATCTGCGTCTGTTGAAACCATGTTGAAACATTGTGTAGCAGTTCGTCATCGTGATAATAACGCACCAGAGCCGTAACGCACAATACTATACTGTCCTCAGCTTTTTTGTTTATGATATCAACATAGAGCTATTAAACAACTATTATTCTTATTACATCTCTATAGATATCAAAGATCTTATAAACACAAGATAGCGTTCTCCGCGATACGCGTGCAAATTCTGTATAACGCATGAACGGTGCCCTCTTGCAAAATTGAAAACTTTTGAACCTTGACCGCTCTGACCATAGCGTACGCCGCGCGACTTTACGTTTACGCGTAACAATTAGAAGCGTCCGATTTACAATGCGCCCTCTCTTTATTAGAACACAAGGAACAAATTAACGCACTTAACGAACTTACGGCGTAGCGCGAACACCCTATCTCAGTCCATGGAAACCACTAGGACACCCTCTCCCAAAACTGATTACTTTTCTGTGCCAAATCGACGCTTCTATTTGTTACGCGTAAATCGCGGAGAACGCTATCTTGTGTTTATAAGATCTTTGATGATATAAATCTGCCATAGAGCTATCAAACACTTATCTATGAAATCTGCATACATGTCACTTGACCAATGACACTCGCGTAGTGTCTCCTATGCGTACGTACGTAATGTACAGTATTAGCAAAGATACTAGAAATACAAGATAGAGTTCTCGCATTGTAAAAATGAGGCGGAAGTCGTGCCCAACGTAGGCGGCGCCCTTCTTTTTAACCATGCAAGTTTCCTATACTTCGTGCCCAACGTAC